AAACTAGTCACCTTACCCGAGACCCTCAGGTTGGAACTGGGATGGTGGCTGGACCCGAAGAGATTCCTACCGGGAGTACCGCTTTGGGAACCAAGAAAGGAGTTTTTGACAACGGACACGTGTCTGTCGGGTTGGGGGGCGCATCTGAAGGACAGGATGGTTCAAGGTGTCTGGTCGCCCAAGGAACAGTCCCACAGTATAAATTTCCAGGAGTTGCGAGTGATCAAACTGGGATTGTGGAGTTTTCAGAGCTCATTGAAGGACTGCCATGTATTAGTGCAGACAGACAGTATGACTGCGAAAGCATTTATAAACAGGCAGAGCGGGACCAGATTTCAGTCTCTCCACGTGGAAGCCTGCCATCTGCTGCAATGGGCAGAAAAATATCTGCAGTCGATCAAGGTTGTTCATGTTCCAGGCCAGGACAATGTACTGGCGGACTGGTTGAGCCACAGAACTCTGGATCAGTCCAAATGGATGTTACACAGGGAGGTCTTCTTCCAGTTATGCATGAGGTTCGGGACTGCTGATGTAGATCTATTTGCAAATGCCCAAAATTGTCAGGTGCCAAGGTTCATTCCAAGGGCAAGGGAACACCTGGCTATCGGAGTAGAAGCACTGAGTTGCGAGTGGCCTCGTCAACTCCTGTACGCCTTTCCTCCACTACAGCTCATAGCTATGGTAGTGCAGAGGGTAATAGAGCAGAGGGCGGAGGTGGTGTTCGTAGCCCCGTTCTGGCCTCGCCGATCATGGTTCCAGGACCTCATGAGGCTATCCTTAGGGAATCATTGGCGTCTACCAGTGAGGGAGGACCTTCGCTCGCAGGGCCTCATCCTCCACTCAAATTCAGACTCCCTGGCCCTCACAGCTTGGAAATTGAGCACAGCCAACTTTCTGGGGTAGGGTATTCAGAGGGAGTCGTTTCCACCATGCTAGCCTCCAGGAAATCTTCTACTTCTAGAGTTTATAACCCTACCTGGCAGGTGTTCACCGTGTGGTGTATAGATAGGGGTTGGGAGGCCTTGTCAGTGCCTGTTAGTGGAGTTATTTTCTTTTTGCAGGAAGGGTTAGAAAAGGGGCTTAGCACCAGTACGCTCAGGCGACAGGTGGCTGCTCTACCAGCTGTCAGAGGAGCTAGGAAAGGAAAACTGCTTAGTCAACATCATCACATCAAGCAGTTTTTGAGGGGTGCAGCTTTATTAAATCCTCCCCAGGTACATCATTTCCCCACCTGGAACCTCAATCTGGTTCTTCGAGCGTTATCTTGGGAACCCTTTGAACCTATGGCTGTTTGTCCCATGAAGGAATTGACCTTCAAAACTATCTTTCTGGTAGGGATTATTTTGGCTAGACGAGTTTCAGAACTGAGGGCTCTATCTATGGATAGGGAGCTTTGCATGTTCCACAAAGATAGAGTGGTGCTTTGACCCGACCCAGCATTTGTACCTAAGGTAAATTCTTCCTTCCATAGGGCAGAGGAAATAGTTCTGCCGTCTTTTTGCCCTAACCCAAAGCATCGCTGGGAGAGGGAGTGGCATTGCTTGGATGTTCGCAGGGCTCTAAGCTTCTATTTGGACAGGACTAAACCTTTTTGCAAGTCTGAGTCTCTCTTCGTGTCCTTCAGTAAATCTAACATGGGACAGGGGGTTTCTACTTCCACCATTAGCAGGTGGATTAGAGGATGCATTATTCTGGCATACAAAAACAAGGAGTTAGATCCCCTGACGGGCATCACCGCACACTCTTTACGAGGGGCGGCGACCTCAGCAGCCTATAGGTCCTTTCTGTCATTGGAGACGGTGTGTAAGCTGGCTACTTGGAGATCAGTTCACTCCTTTACCAAACATTATAGGATTGACAAACTGGCCTCTGCAGATGCGGCCTTCGGCAGGAGGGTTCTACAGCATACTCTCTAGGCCTGAAGCCGTTTGCCCGCCCTGGGATACACTGCTTGTTACGTCCCATTGGTGAGGACTGCCCCACTACCAGAGCCACCGGAGAATGGAAGATTTGACTTCACTTACCGTGAAGCTTCCTTCTTGGTGGCTCTGGAGTGGGGCAGTCCTACCCACCCGACTATAAGCCTAGGGTGCTCCAGCGCCCAGCCTGATACGGCCTCCAGCAGGGACGACAGGCCGCTAGCCGGTGCATTAGGCGGTCAGTACACCAGCCAGATAGCCAAACTCTCCTCGGTCCCCAGCACCAAGCCGACACATTCCATGCCCGCAATCTCCAATGCAGGGAGCGCCCTGAAGGAGTAAGCCTCCCGAATGAACATCGCCACTCCCCCCCGCCTCTTAGTCCGCGATTGGTGTAGGACCGAAAACCCAGGCGGGGCAAGTTGCGAGAGAGCTACCGTCTCCCCGTCCTGCACCCAGGTCTCAGTCACGCACGCCAGGTCTGCTTGTTGTTCTATGACGAAGTCCCGAAGGACTGTCGTCTTGTTATTAATGGACCTGGCACTACACAGCACCAATGACGAGGATGGGTTCTTCATCCCAGCCCCACTGCAGACCTCCCTCGGGATGGGTCGTAGGCTGGAAGGGTGTCGAGCCAATCTTCTTCTTGGGGCCCTTCCCTTGGTCTTTTGCCTAGACCTACCGCTAAACTTTCCCCTCCCCAAGAGCACCGGGATCTGCTGTTCCAGCATTGCTGCACCCGCCAGTCTTTGCTGTGGCCACAGACTGCTGGTACTAGCTGAATAGGCAATTCACCAACCCTGAGCTGAAACAGCAATATCAAGTCCCCTAGCTCTTTACGCTACCCCACTATCTAACTTCCTATGGTACAAAAAGCAAGCCTCCTGGCTCTCTAATATACGAAATGTTAACTAACTACTCTACTAACAATACAAATACCAGGGAACCCACCATCACTCAAGCTCCTAACTAAGCTTCCTGGAAGCAGTTACTAACAATATTCACCTATCTTAGCCATTCACAGAATGGTTATTTAACAATACTACATCTCCCTAACTCTTCCATAGATAGTTAAAAAATTCTAAAACCTGGCAATCACACAAATTCAACCATCCTGTTGCAGTCAGTCAACATTCCTTTTCAATATACATGCACCACAGTCCAATCCAGCCCCATTCATCCTCATTCCCTAGTCACATAACAGAGGCCACTATTGGCACAGTAAGATTCAGGGTCTAGATCTTGAGAGGCAGTTACTCCTCCCTGCATGTAGCACTGGCTCTTTCAGAGACCCGGGCCTGGGTCCCCTGGGTTATTGCTCCTGATGCCCTGTGTGGAACCACTGAGCAATTTCTCAGACCTGTGGGTCCTCGAGACTGGATGCACATAAGAAAACCAGACCTTTAAAATATATAAAGGAATTCACTATGCAGCACAATCTCAACAGTTTAGTAACAAGAATAAAATAAACAATAAAATTCCTGGGTATTTATGTAACAGGACAAACTAAAATTTTATACAAAGATAACTATCAAAATGTTTGGGCAAGTATTACTGAAGAGCTACAAAGATGGGAAAATTGAAAATTTTGTGGCAAGGCCAATACGTACTCAGCAACTGTCTCGTTCGCGGCCTGGGATCGCTTGTAGAACGCATGTCGGCTAGCGATCTGCGAGGGTTGCGGTGCAAAATGCCCCTGCAGTTTCAGTTTGAGTTCAGCCAGGGACATGGTTTTGATTTCAGCCGGGGCGACATCGAAGACAGCCCTTCCACAGGAGCTGAGGAGCGTCGCCTTCTGATGGTCCTCACCCTCAATCTGGTTAGCCTGGAGGTGGAACTTGAACCTGGTCAGGTAGGAATCCCAGTCCTCGAGGTCGGGTTCGAATGCCTCGAACCATGGGTTGACGGCCATCACTGCTCTTTGTGCTGGCACTGGCACAAGTGCTGTAGCTTATCAGCTGGGTCTCATTCTTCCGCCACGGGTTCCTCAGGGGCTTCTTGGTTGTCCGCCGTCCTGGCGTTGGTTCAGCGGAGCTGCCTACCCGCTCTATAATCACATCCTTATTGCCAATTGTTAGATACGAGACTTGAGGCAGCAGGTGAACAGTGGCAACAGCTTTATTGAACACAAAGTCAGAAGAACCAGAACGAGACAAATTATGGAGCAACAGGCTCCTTTTTAAATAGTCCGGGCTTGGCAAGCCACGCCCACATGTCAGATAAGATCCAATCCGAAACTGTACATAAAGACCAATCACTTTGCTTCCCTCCAGAAGTTCCTTTGTTCTGATAGGTCGGTGTACAATACCTTGTTCAGACTCCAGCTCAATACATTCAATTGCATATACAACAGTTTTGATGTTGCTTTTGGTGTTGTTTGCTAAGGGTATGACTGAATGCAATAAAGTTTGTGCATGTACGCATGTATAGTTTGGTCATTTAAAATATATCTATATACAGGAATTATAGAAACAGTAGAATTGGGATTTTACTCCCTGTACTAGCCATAAGGCCCTAACATTCTCATTGAATTTCCAACACAGTACAGTTTGAGATGACCTGCACTAAACAAACTCAAACTCCTCCCCCATAATATCAATGGGCTCTATGTGCAACAACCACATGCCATCACTTCAAAAGTGTTCTTCTGTTCTTGTGCTAGGGTTGCCAGGTCACTCCTGGCCACCAGCAGGGGATGGGAGGCGGGTAGGGTTGCCAGCTCCAGGATGGGAAACTCCTGGAGATTTGGGGATGGAACCTGGGGAGGAGGACAGGGACCTCAGTGGGGTACAATGGCATAGAGTCCACCCTCCAAAGCATCCATTTTTTCCAGGGTAATGATTCCTGTAGTCTGCAGATGAGCAGTGTCTTCTGAATTGGCATGAACAAAGTAGAAACAAACAAAAATCAAGCTTACAAATGTAGATTTTGACCACATTTTTCTATGATTTATTTTGTACTGAACAAAATTAATAAATACATTATCTAGGATAACAACAGGTTTTCATCTCATCCATGAAAAAATAATGCTTTCAATTTTTCACATTTTAAAACCTGCTTTGTTATTTTATTTTAAAAGAAAATGCAAGACAACAGTAGTGAAGCCTAAATATACAGAATGTCCATGAAGGAGTTACATTTACAAGAACCTGATACAGAAGCCTATATTTTGCCCCCATAATAAAGAGTTCTCTGCAATAATATTTAAACCAGCTGGTTTAAATAAAAACACCCCAGTAACCCTACTTCTAGAGCAATGAGGTGTTTACTTTTCAAGTATTTAATCAGTAAAATGTAAAAGATTCCTTGCTGATTTTACATTGTACCTTTTAAAACCAAAACGCCCATCCTCAAAACAGAAAAACAAAGCAGAAAGACAACAGGTCCATTAACCTGATCAGCCTGTTAGAATCCCGTGTGTCTTCAAGAAAACAGAAAATATCCATTTTGCTAACCAAAGGAGCGTGCTGGGAAAAAAGCAATTTATGCACATGGAACATGATTTTTCTAGTGGTGAAATCTATGTGATAGAAAGGTAATCCAGGTCTATTCCCAATAAATTCTTCTGCTGCTGGTTTTACTACGGTCCTTAAAAAATGTTGTCCAGTTGTCTAAGTAGTCTTTAGAAAACTCGAGAGTGCAAAAAACACAACACTCCTTCATAGCATGGAAGGAATTCCACTGGCTGCAGAGGTGCTCACTTCGCCTTTGGTAATTCAAAAGCAGAAATCAGATAACTTCTATAAGGAAAAGCCAGCAAAGGAAAAATTAGCAGATAAAATTGATCTTCACTACATAATGTGCAATAACGAACACTGTTATATAAAGGAACAATTGCAGAAAGTGTTACTTGCTGATGGCAACCATATTTAAAAGACAGGCTCCAATACCATTGAGACACTGGGGAGAAAAGGGGGTATTTAAAGGTTCACCTTACCATGCAAGCAGAGGCAGTCTTAGCAAACACCCTGTTTGGGGCCTGGGCTGCCCACTTGTGGCAGTGGCTCAGGCTTACCTTGCATAGGGACTCAACTGCTCCTTGCCTGGGGCCAGGGTGGTGCTTGGAAGGGGGGGGTCAGTCAGTGAGTAGGGAGTCCCATCCTGGAACCCTAAACTTTTCCTTAGAGCCCCAGAATCACTAACCATGCAAGAATGAGAAAAATTGCCTGAACCTGTTGAAATTCCTACTTCTGCAGATTATTTAAAGGTATAGCAACACTGACCGTTGCATCTAGTTATGATATTTCTTCCCTAATGAAGTACTGTGCAGATGTTCAATTACACATACACTAAACACACACAACAGTATCAGTAGGTCTGCAAAAATTCTGCGCGCACAGAAGTGTAGACACTGTCTTTCCCAGAATCTAAAAAGGTAAGTGAAACAGAATAGAGGGCCAACAATAAAAACATAATTATATAGTATGAAAAGATACATGTATTTGCTTAAGGACAATTTTACTGAGGACGCTTTGGCTAAACAATCTTTGGAAGGCACTTTCTGGACCAGAAATTATCATCAGTGAAACATCATTTGGCATGTGATTGCACCTTTGGAGGCCTCATTTATACTTTTATTCTGTGTCTAGTAGCTTCACTTTGGAACAAGTCTTTTCTGGTCCATCTTGTATCTATGTTACATAATTGTATGATTGTACTGTACAATCATACAATATAAACCAATATGCTCCTCATTATGTTTGACCTCTGAAGAAGGCCTATATAGGCTGAAACGCGTCAGGTCAAGTCCATTGGCCCTTGTGTACTAAATTTTGGCATTTTTACATGAGGTGTGATTGGGCCCTTATATGCTTTTTAATTTTTTGTTAATAAATACATGTATCTTTTCATACTATATAATTAAGTTTTTATTGTTCGCCCTCGATTCTGTTTGGCTTACCTTTTTAGGTTCTGGATCCCATGTTTCATGCTTTTGTCCCACACGGTCTTTCCCCCAAGGACTGGGAAAGTTACCACCTCCCCCACCCCATTCTCCATCACATGTAGAGGTCTGATGCCGACCTTCTGCTGAACAAGTAGAGCAGCAGGATCCTGCTCTTCTCTATTCATATGTATTATTATTTGTGCCATGGAACAGTTGTCCAAGGGTACAGTATCAAGTCCTGGAAAAAACATACCTTCTGGAAGGTTAAGGAAATAATTACTTGAAATGAATTTTTTAAAAAATGAATAATTCATTTCACCTCCAAATAGGTAATAGGTGTCATGCATTACTAGGAAGTCTAATGAAACTGGCAGTTCCTCAGCTCTTCTCCCTTTTAAGCTGCAGGCCAATAAAAAAAGACTATGACAAATATGCAGTGCTTCCTTCCAAGTCCTGAAGCTGTTATGTAATACACTGAAGCCTGATGTTTCTTGGATTCCTCTCAGATACCAGTTAGAAATTAAAACAGACTTAAGACATTTAAAGCAAACTTACCTGCTGTCTGATGCGTTTGAACGTTATCTACCTGAGGCATTGGCCCAAGTGTCCCCTTATCTTCAAAGGCCAAAATTGGAGTCAATGGGATTTCAGAGCCATCTTTCTCAGCATTGTTCAGGGCATCCAATCTCGATGGTTTCGTTCCCATAGGTAAACTGATGATCTCTTCAAAGTTTGCATTCTGCATAGACACTCCATTTTCATTTGCATGTTTTCCTGGGTTGAGATTACTGAGAGACAGGAATATGATCAATTAACACATATTATTGATGTACTTTTTAAAAGTACAATTTTATAAATATATTACATTACACACTATTAATAAAACACCATTTGTTATAGTGCAAATATTGTTTCCAATGTCAAATAGCTGTTAACAGCAAATATTTAGCGCTTTCCATGCATAACATAATCTGTAATCTGCAAGGTATTAACAACCTTGTATCGTGCATCTATTTTTTTTAAAAAAAAGATTACCAGCAATTTCCTTTGCTTTTTGTATCAAGCAGTCTCCTCTCCCTGTCTATAGAACTGGAAAACACAGTCCCTAATTGACATAATCTGGTGTTCAATTTGAAAAGTCAGAAAACAGTTACACACACCGATAAATACTGACAGCAGGTGGTACTTGCTATTAATCTGAAACACAATCAAACCTAAGCCAGCAGTAGTTTTGCCTTGATAAACTGGCAATATTTCTGTTTCAAGGGATTTAATATATGATTGGTTTTCTTGCCAAGAAGCAACTTCCTGGCTCAGCACCTAGTTTAAAAAGAGTTTGGGTTGGCTGTCCCTATTATTTGGGCACAAACTCATGGATGTAAGTAGAAAAGGCTGTACCACCTACCCCTATCTCTACCCAAGAGAGGGCTACCAAGGGCAGAAGTCTGCAGTCTTCAGTATTTTGCAAGTCTGCCAGGGTGGGGGTATAGAAGGGAAGCAAATGTTCAATGAACTTCAATTTGAAAAGAAAAGAAGGATTCCCACTGTAGTATCCTCCCAAACAGGCCTTGATGGGGGAAACACTTAAAGGCATACAACATACATAGAGCCATATACATAACACACACTTTACTTTTCTTTGCAATAGAAAGGGCTATGGGGAAGGGAGGGGAAAGCCCACTTTTGAAGGAGAATTGCATTGGAATGCAAACAGAGTTCAGAAGTCTAACAGGAAGAGTGCAGGGAGGGTTTTACCCCAAAAGTTCTGCTAGCTTAAGTGAATGGGACTTGCAATACAGAAAGTCAGCAGAAAGGAAACGGCACTGTATTTCTTTGCTGAGCTGGCAGTAGGCATGTGCTAGATACGGCAATCTGTCTGAGCTTTTTAAATAAACTGTTTATTTTTATCCTGCCAATTTATATTGATTTCTATCATTCTCATTTCTGTGTTTATTACATTTTGGAAGCTACTCCAAGAAATATGTTGTGGTTGACAGAAGAAAACTCTCCTGCATTCATGTTCCTTGGAACCTTTCACATTGTTTTATTTTATTGTGGTGGCTAAGGGGTGGGAGAGGCAACAGTTTTCTGGATCGAAGAATGTCCAATTCCTCCACTCTGGCGTCTCCTATAAATTCTTTAAACCCCAAACACCCACAATCAAATAAAAAGGGAGACACAAGCTTTGATTAAAGATTGGTAGTGTGTAAGCTATGTGCTCCCAAAAGGTCTCTTATTTGGAAGCCTGCTGGACCAAGGCTGCAATTATGTGTGAGGTAAACTTTAAGATATTTAACTATAAAGTCAAGACACAGATGGAGTCAAACAAGAAAGATTTATTTAACAAAAGATAAAGTATTTTGATATGGTAAATGCTTTGTGTGGATGGCTCATGGCTTCAATATATAAAGTAAAACTAGCTCTCAGCTTCACCCCCCAAAGGTGACAGACTTTCCCCCAATAAGAATAATTAGTTGTAGCTGAGTCTCAAATAAACCCTGGAGAGCTGATTCCCCTTTCTCCTGACAAGTGACCTCATCAGGTTCAAGGCTGCTTTTTCTAGAGTACAGAGCTCCTTCCCACAAAACCTGTACACATGAGTTAGGAATGACAGATCCTTAACAGGATGCTTATTTGTCACACTAAGACAAGAGAGGCAGGACTTTTGAGGATGATCACTATAGCTTCCCTTCCTCCTGTCAGCTTAAGGTGACATACACAATTCTTCTATCTCCATTTTATATTTACAACAATACTGTGGGGGTAAATCAGATTAAGAGAGTGACAGATGGACTTGTCTAAATTTACCTAGTGAGCTTTATGACATATTTTTCCTTATTAAAATATATGTAGCCTATCTTTCCTTTGTGGATCAAGGCAGCTTACAGTTCCAAATTTAAAAACACACAAAGTGCAATAAAACTTCAAGTAATCCACACAACTCAAAACTTCTGTAGCCCTAAGGTTGCCAACCTCCAGGTGGTAGCTGGAGATCTCCTGGGATTATAACTGATCTCCAGGAAATAGAGATCAGTTCATCTGGAGAAAATGGCTGCTTTGGAAGGTGGACTCTATGGCATTACACTCCACTGAAGTCCCTCCCATCCTCAAACCTTACTGTCCTTATGCTCCACGAGGGCTGCCAGGTCCCCCGAGGGGGCGGGGGGTTGCCCGCTCTAGGGTCCCCTATCCAGCCGGCCTGGATCCAGCCTTCCGGCAGAATTCTACCAAACCTTTGAAGTCCATTTGATACTATCTTTAAAACAAGTACTACAAAACATAGTACTACAAAACAACTGAAGGCAAAATACCAGAAACTTGGAATTAAGCCTTAATAACCTTGATATATAAATAAAAAACTGATGAGAAAGAAATTAAAAAATTATAGGCCAATTTCATTATTAAATGCTTCTATTCTCACTGCAAAATTGAAAAGAGTTTTGATAAGAAAATAAGAGAAGCCAATGTTGGATCAGGCCAATGGCCCATCTAGTCCAACACTCTGTCACACAGTGGCCAAAAATACCAGGTGCCATCAGAAGGTCCATCAGTGGGGCCAGGACACTAGAAGCCCTCCCACTGTTGGCCCCCCCAAGCACCAAGAATACAGTGTATCACTTGCCCCAGACTGAAAGTTCCTATCTATACCTTCTGGCTAATAGCCACTGATGGACCTCTGCTCCGTATGTTTATTCAATTCCCTCTTGAAGCTGTCCATGCTTGCAGCCACCACCACCTCCTGTGGCAGTGAATTCCATGTGTTAATCACTCTTTGGGTGAAGAAGTACTTCCTTTTATCCGTTCTAACCCGACTGCTCAGCAATTTCATTCAGTGCCCACGAATTCTTGTAATGTGAGAAAGGAAGAAAAGTACTTCTTTCTCTACCTGCTCTATCCCATGCATAATCTTATAAACCTCGATCATGTCACCCCTCAGCCGTCGTTTCTCCAAGCTAAAGAGCCCCAAGCATTTTAACCTTTCTTCATAGGGAAAGTGTTCCAACCCTTTTATCATCCTTGTTGCCCTTTTCTGCACTTTTTACAATGCTATAATATCCTTTTTAAGGTGTGGTTACCAGAACTGTACACAGTACTCCAAATGAGGTCGCACCATTGATTTATATAGGGGCATATTCATAGGAAAAGTGTTCCAACCCTTTTATCATCCTTGTTGCCCTTTTCTGCACTTTTTACAATGCTATAATATCCTTTTTAAGGTGTGGTTACCAGAACTGTACACAGTACTCCAAATGAGGTCGCACCATTGATTTATATAGGGGCATCATGATACTGGCTGATTTGTTTCCATTTCCCTTCCTAATAAACCCCAACATAGCATATCTACTATGACTCCAAGATCTCTCTCTTGGTCAGTTTCTGTCAGTTCGGACCCCAACAATGTGTATTTATATTTAGGATTTTTGGCTCCAATATGCATCACTTTGCACTTGGCCACACTGAACCCCATTTGCCACATTGATGCCCACTCGCCCATCCTCGACACATCCCTTTGGAGTGCCTCACAATCCTCCCTGGTTCTCACCACCCTGAACAGCTTCATGTCATCTGCAGATTTTGCCACTTCACTGCTTACTCCCAACTCCAAATCATTAATAAACAAGTTAGAAAGCATCGGACCGAGTACTGATCCCTG